GCAAGTGGGGGGGGGGGCAGCTCGACAGGGGTTCATTGAGCACTCATCGATCGTTTTCGAAAGAAAGACACGCACTGTCGTAGACGCGTTCGTGCAAACTTTCAGGTCAACTGCGATACCGCAGCAGCACGTATACCAAGGGGGATCGCAAGAGGAGTTCACGCGCGACGGTTCAATCAACCTTATGTACACGAAGGGATAACAATTTGCTGACGCGTGCGTGTCGTCTGAGTAAGGAGGAGCCGGCGAGGTGAAGAGGACCGAGAACCGGTTTGAGTTATGAATGCGAATTTCTTTTGCGAGCTGCCTGATTACGGGGGTGGAAGCGATAAAAAAAGCGGGGCGAGTCGTGGAGCACGACGCCGGGCTTTCGTCGTGACGCGAATACATCAGTCGCTCGCCGAGCGCGTGTCTCGAATGGGACCCGCGGCTTCTCGCCGCGCCCGAGACAGGGATGGCCATGGATAAAGAAAGGTCTGATTATCATGAAATATGATGAAAAGATTCTGTATGCCTTCAATTGAATTCTCCTGAAAAGATTTTCACGACATATAAAATTTCCAGATAACATTCAGAATGTGTCATATTTTTTCGTATATTTTATCTAATTTCAGCGTTTTGAAAGAAATGGAAAAAAGTAAGAGAAATATTTCTTCACCATTTGAATATCTCGTATTGATCTTACAATTAGATTCAAAAATATTGATAAGTTTTCAACATCGTCAATGCGATATTTGATACTACAACTAATAATATCATTAAAAATATAAAATATTAAATAGTAGATAACGACGAGGAAATTGCACGAATAAAACGTAATAAATTATACTTATCGTATCTAAAATGTCATACAATGATTATATTTTAGATAAATTTAACATTAGCATTGCTTTCATTTTCAGTGTAAAATATTTCTATAATTAGAAATTCCTGAAAGAATTCGCTGAGAAATATTGCGGTCAGATATCGCAAAAAATTTATCTGCAATATATTTTTCGGTAGGTCTAGAATAGCCGGTATGACTTGATAGCGCCATTTAATCTCGGCAAACTCGTTCGCAAGCGTGCCCGCTTGCATTCCATGTGTCAAAGGGCGATAGATTATTTTTCCATCGCCCCTATCGTCGAGTCGCGCGGCCCGCTATCGCTCGATTCGTTTATGAAAGCAAGCGGCGAATAACGGGCGATTCCATAGGGTCTCATGGTGATTGCTTTATTCAATAACCGATCGTCACGGCCGGGCTGCGGGAAATTTTTCGCGAAACTCGGCTGCCAAATGAGCCGTGAATCCTCCGAGATACATTGGAGAAGAGTGCTTCCTTCTGGGTGGTATTGGCGCGCGACTTCATCGGTCGGAAAAAAGTTTATCCTCCGCGCGAACGGTGACGGAAGATAATTCGATCCGCCTGGAGTGTGATCTCCGAGACGATGAGCGAAATGAGATACCCCTCCGCCTCCGCGATCGTGTTCCCGCAAAGTTTAAGCGATTCAAGAGCAAGTGCTTCTTCCGAGTTGCGAAGACGAGCCGGAAATCGAATCGGCTGTACGTTATGGTGGGAAAGTTGAATTTTATATTGGCAATTTGGCGTAGACAATCCGCAGTCGCTCGGAATTGTAATAAAATTAATTCGCTGTCTATCCACAAATCGACTTCTGAGAATAAGTTCTTAATGAAATGACGCTAAGAGGATTGAGCGTGCCAATTTAAATCAAGCTTTCCTTCCGCGGGAGAGATTGATATCTGGATATTGATCTAACTTTGCTTGCGTTGATAATGCGTTTCATTTGCGTTGGATTTACTTCTGCTTGTTTTGTATTCAATCGTGCCTTTGTGCTGTTTTTAATATATTGAAATATTGTTAAGTACGCGCTCGACTCATACGTATGCTATTTATCTTTTATAACACCATATATTTTATATTAAATTCAGAATTGTCTGCGTTTTTTATAAATCTCATTCAGATTATCACACGCATCGACGGAGAAATAAAACAATCGCGAAAGATATTTCAATTAAACTCGCGCATTCGACGTTCCAGCACGTATATATCTTATTACTTCCTCGGTAGAGATTAAGATCGCGTTTACATTCCGCGCGGAAATAGCGCGAGCGGTAGTTAAATTCTGTCGGACAAAAAAAAAGAACCGCTCGTACGCGGCGTTATCGCTCGAGATCCCGGGGCAATCCGCGGCAAAGAAAGAGAGAGAAAATCCACGGAAATTTATATCACAGCGATGATAAGATCTCGCTTACCGCCCCCTTCCCCCCCCCCTCCCCCTCCACTCGCGTTTCATTCGCGAACGGCCTTTTGCTCCTAATTTCATCTCCGCTCGGACTAGCGAAGAGCTCGCTCGCTCTTTTCTTATCCTCGTCGGCGATAAATCCGAAACGAGTCACGTTCACAGACACAGCGAAAGGTGGGAATAAACGCTTTGTGGCCGCCGCGCATCAAGAGCCACCGTGATGCGGCCAGGCTTTGATCTCGGAGGTGAGAGTAGAAAAAAAGCCTCAATTCACTCCCAGTGCTTTGACCCGCGCGCGTTCTCGATCCTGTCAATCTATCCGACTCTCTCGATCAAAGACTCGCCAAGGAACCCTCGATTTTCTCTGCCCTCTCTCCCTTATTTGAGATAAAAAAAATGAGGAAGAGGGCGGCGACGACGGCAGAACGCTACGAAGAGGGGAGTCCTCGAAGAACTTGGTCGGAGGACGAGCGATGCGGGAAGGGAATTGTTCGGACTTCGATGGATCGACTTTATCGTCGTGCAATCCCGCCGTCAGGGTTTGGGGATGGTTTACTCAAGGGAAATCAAGTTGATAATCCGATTAATAAATTGGGCCGGTATCCATATGCCGCATGTATCGATCTCGCTGTTCTCGATTTAATTGATTATCTTTATTGCGAGCTTTACAGTTAAACTGTTTACTGATAAATATGTAAATGCATTCAACGCATAATTGGGAGAAGCAGAATTGCAAAGTGCTGAATTAAAATTAAGATTGAGAGAGTGTAACATGACAGTTTGTAATATAAAAATGACTTCCATTCCTTCTATAATCGGAGACGAAGTGATAATTCATAACGTAATTCAATAACGTGGCGTTAAATTCTTGATGCGTGCATTTAACTCAATTAACGATTCAAATCCTTCTCTATTAAACTTGCATCACGGTGTTGCGTCGCTTCTCATTATCATTTTAATTGCGCGTTGTTCGCTTCTTGCCTCCACGCTTGTGTATTAAAAACTTTTCACCGGACGGGAGACTGACTTCCTTT